AAAATGTTTTTTGAATTCATTCCACTTCACATCTTTATTCTTACGTAAACGTACTCTAAATTTTAAAATTTTTAGACAACACTTGACATTTTTTTGTTAAAATTTTTTGGTATCAATTCACTTATAAAACAAACAAATATTTAGTGACAATTAATAACTTTTTTGTAATATAAATACGATTGTAAAAACTTGAAAATGAAGTCGTTGAAAACAAATTTCTTCGCTGAACAAAAAAACTTTTTATTTATGAATATATGGGTATTTTTCGTTATTTAATAATCTTTAATAGTTTTGTAATTTATCCACTTCAACTCTACCCCCCCCCACCCCTTAGTACATTTTTTTTATTAGAGCTTGATTCCACACATATTTTTGGTACATGTAGGAATTTTCAGCGTGGATATCGGTAGCCAGAAATTTGCAGGTCGACCATAAATATCAAGGTGTGCGTCGGCATGGCTCGAACCTCGGACCATTTGCATGGTCGGTGAGAGTCCTAACCACTGTGCCACCGACGCACATTAATTATCTTTACTTTATCACATGTGCAGTAATGACCGAGCAATTTCTACTGCCACTTAATGCCTTCTTTTTCTGTAATATAAATACGACTGAAGTCGTTGAAAAGAGATTCTTCGCTAAACAGTGGTAACGTCTCTACTGCAGGATTGAGCGGAGTGGGTTGTAATCTCAGAATGGATAAGTTCTCCTTCAAGAGGCAGATACGCCTTGCTGACTGATGAGTTTCAACAAGCACAGTACCTAGTTCCAGACTTCCTGCCAATCGCTCCCAACCAACTAATAATAACAATTCAGAGTGCGATAATTGAACATCTGGTACTGATCATTCCATCTGAACAAACGCTTCCTGCATCAAAGTAATATACAAAGTCAAGAATAACCTACCAAAGGCAATACAGTTTCGTCTTCTTTGTATCACTGAAGCTCTGGCCATTCACATAGAAACACCGAGCTGTGCATACAAAGGAGAATTTCAACACTTCTACTATCATGGTAACAACTTTGCTGATTTTTGATGACTTAATTTTGTTTGTTTACCTGTTTTTTTTACAGCTAAGAAAATGAAAACTGAGACTCTTCGCTGAACTATGTGTTTTGTTTTCATTAATGCCTGGATGGGGAGTTCATCATGATGGCAAGACACCTAGCAAACATTAGATCAAGGATTATTAACCTTGAATATCGATTTTCCTACAGTGAACTGAAAAGAGTAACAAGCCCCTCAGAAAAAAAAGTTATTGTCGTTCACAGACACATATGTAAAGTTACCTTTCCTCTATTTGCAGATAATTTCAACACCTCATTAAGCACACCATAAGTGTTCAGATGTCCTATAGATGGTATAGCATACTCATATTCTCATGTACAAGAGAAAAACGTATTCAGTGATGAGACAGTTCTTTTCGAATCCGTCTCCAAACTGTAAAATCATATTCATACTATGTTAAAAGGTAATCAACCACACCGATAGTTGCTCAGTCAATACACATACGTCATTTTTAAAGGGTTATAATTGAGATAGGTGAAATAATGAAAGCAAATGACATTAAGATGCACGAAATGGATCAAGTGCTATCAAAAAGTTCTAAGTTTCAATGATAACAACAAATCTACTAGTAGATTTGTAAGGAGACACATAAACACCAGATACAATAGAAACTGACAACAGTTAAAAAGAAACAACTCTTCATAAAATTTCAATTTAATGGGGACGTGGCTAGTGGGGTCTTACAGCTGAGATTATCGAAAGCAATAAAACGGACTTATACTGCTGCCACTCATTGTTTTTTTTTTTTATTTTCCAGCCAACCAATTATGATTGCTCAAGCGAAAGACAAGCTGCCTAGCTGCGCTACTTCTATGTATATCTATAAATTTAGTTGCTCCTGTGGAGAGAGCTATATAGGGCGAACAACTAGACAGCTCAACAAACGTACTAATGAGCATCTTCCTTCATAGTTTGGAAGAGGTCAAATAAAATCTATAAGAAGCTCTGGTTTGCCCCCATTTGATTGATAGCGGTCACCAAATGCACAGCAATAGCGCCTTCAAAGTTATCTATCGCATTCCAACGAACCTTTCCAACAGAATTCGAACCCGCCTTTTACACATAGCCGAACCTATGTCTGTCTGTCTGTTTTCAACATACAACTTTGCACCGATGTGTAGCACAAGAAGCAAAAGCAGAAATTAGGAGAAATGCAAAATAGAGACAGTAAACAAGGGTATGAGACAAAAGGAATAGTAATAACGAAGAACACTAGAAATTATAAGTAACAAGGAGTGGATGCATCTGCGCCAGCCATTGAGAACGATTTTGAGCCATATCACCAATTGTTTCCAGCCATAGGTTTTTACCGTCCCAAGGACGGCAACCAGGAAGTCTACACTTTCCTACGAGGCCGGCTTAAACTAAATGTTGTGGATTTCACTGACCGATGAAGCCATGTTTTGGCTTGACCACCACTGGCTCTTTCCAACCTAATGTCAGTTGGCACTGCCCGTCGAGGAAGGCGACGGCTATGCATACGTAACACGTGTCCTAACCATTTCAATCGGTGTAACTTCACAGGGAGCTTAATGATCCCAGCAGTGTCCATCAGGGATGTTTAGTGTCGCTATTTTTGTTTAATCTTACTACAGATATACCAATGGGATTCGCCCTAGATACCTTTAGCGACTTAGGGATAGACTAGTTAGAAGGTAACACTCATGCCGACTCAGAGTATGTGGATGAGGTTGTCTTACTAAGTGAAGACACTAATAATAAAAAATCTCACCACCACAAGCGGCTGACTAGCTCCTGGTAAGTGTAATATAATGCTACAAGACTGGACTGCACCGACTCCTTGCTTACAGAGAGGGAGTAAAATGGTAGAGCATGTTGACCACTTCACCTATTTGGGGAGTTGCATTAAGCAACGTCAGTGGGTTGATCGCTGACAAAATCCTAGCACGGATACAGAGGGCTCGTTTAGCATATGCCAACTTACGCCATCTCTGGTTTAGTAGATGCGATATCCGGCTGGCTGTTGACCGAAGGGCGTGTGCAAGTTCGCCGTCCTCCTTCATGGCTGTGAGTGAGGCATGACCATTGGAAATGGAAGACATGAAAAGGCTAGCCGTCTTTGATCATAGGTGTCTGTGTTCTATCTCCCATGTTATGTGGTATAATATGGTGAGTAATATTCAGGTTAGGCATCTAATGTTAGGTAAAGAGCAAAGGTTAAATTGATGAGGTTGTTGAGCTGCAACGACTGAGATGGCTAACACATAAAGACTAAAAAGAACATTGCTACGACCAAGGTAAAGAAAGAGGTTAGCAAGACGTTTTTGAACACATAATTTAGGTTTCTGTTCATGTGTAGCTACAGCTTCGGTTATGCATAAGTGAAGAAAACGTAAACTTTTGGAGTGATTCGATTTTGCCATGTAGATCACCTTGAAGGACGAATCACGTGGGGCTATATCATCAGACTCTAACAGGTAATCACAAATAGACGACTTTGCAGTTCTACGTTCGCCTTTCATTAACCAAACCGGATAGTGTTCAGCTACACGTTTTCGGAGAGTACGCTAACAACGTCCAACATAATCAGCTCCCCAGGAGCAGGTAAGAGTAAATGCACATAGATGTGGACATAAGCAGTAATCTATCCTTGACAGCCTTTCCGTCAGTCTAGTTTGGGACTCTTCATCAGTACGCACTCGCTGGGCTTTGAACTCAAAGCCTGCTGGTTTACAAGGCGAGCTTGTAGACCTGGTGTTCTAGAAGGAAGCAGTGACTAGTAGGATACAGCAGGCTGAAGGTGAGGACAGTTACTCATCGAAGAAGACATTGAGAAGCGGCCACGCTACGTGAATTAGCAGAAGTTAGAATTATAATTTATATTACAACGAAATAAATGATGGTCTTAAATTTTTATATCATGGGCTGGTTATTGGATTGGGTCCCAGTGACTTAATGGTCTACGAGCTTGTCTTGTAACCTGGGGTTGGAACCCCGATGACTGAGTACTGATGAAGAGTCCCAAACTAGGCTGACGAAACAAGTGTCCAGTACTCTCTAACCGATGTCAGCCCATGCTGACCAATCAACAACAAAAAAATTCCTACAAAACCAATACTTGAAAATAAGTTAGTTGAACAAATATACTCAGTAATCATTATTTCACCTAACAAAAAGTTCGGGGAAAATCTACAGTTTAAAATCAACGACAGTATGGAATGGGGTGTTTGATTATTGTCAGTTATGGTTGCAATGTAAGAAAAGTCACAATACTGGTAATGGGAAAAGACGGCTGGAAGAAGGCCTGGGGTTGATACTTTCTGGCTTCTAAAAATACCCCAGAAATCGGTCTTCACCATATATAAGGCAAAAGATGAGTTAATCGCGCCTAACCGCGAAATTTAAAGGACATTTGTTTGAGGTTTCTGGAAGCAGCCCAAATGTGCTGAATCTCACAAAGTTGTCTTCACCTGAAGAACAATGACATCGGAAAGTAGTAAGACCTGTACCAGCTCTCCCCTCCCTCCTCCCCTAGGAAAAATACGTAGTAATGTAGCTGGAGAGACTGTCACCTTTAAGAGACATCCTGGTCTCGCCAGATCTACCAAGTGAGCAGTAAGACTTCGTCCAGAAATCCCAATATTAGAAAATTCACTTTTTATTTTTGTCTTTACTCTATCGAACTATAATGCACACTGCGACCTCGTTTCAACCAGCACATAACGTCAAGTCATTAACACATACAAGTCTCACTAGGGCAACCTTCAACCCAAATACGTAAGCCGTTGTCTAAACTAACACTCAACAAACACTCGTATTTTTTACAATGAAGAACCACCTTTCAGAGGCACGAAACAGCATACTACTACTAAGGAAAGACTACATAACCATGATATCCTACGACTCCTGGAAACTTGCCTGACGAACAAATTTCGCAAAATTTTGAACGCTTAAACAGAAAGCCCGCTGGGATAAAGAAAATACCCACTGGTATTAGTGTAACGAAAATGTAAGGAATAAGTGTAAAGAATGAACGTTTTCTTAAAAGTAACTTTATACCAGTAAATCAATACAATGAGATTCTGTATAGAAAAATATTTTTTACAATCAAATTTAAAGCAAATATCACAGATAGAGATATTCACTGAGTAGTATAGTAGTAGTATAAAAGAATAAACAAATAACTTCCTTGTAATATAATATGTGAGGTTTAAGCTATACAAATTTCTGATAGTTACCGTTTATTCCATTCACTAGAAAACTAGAATCTGTGGGATTATGTACATGTGGAGGGCACTGAGATTTGTGATCACGTTTATTTTTACGATGACGTTTACGGCGTCGCGTTTTCGCCTGCTTAGATGGTTCACCACCAGTGAACTGTAAATCTTTTAATTTTTCTACACTATCGTTGGTAAATTCGCTTTTAGATTCAGCGGCACCATCATCGTCCGCAGCTAGCTGTGATGCTACATTAGGTTCATAACCTTCTGATATTAAATACTTTAAACGATCAAAATAACGAGATCTTGCTTCTATCTCCCAAATACGATTGGATCGTTCTAATCTGCTTGCTGTAGCATATGTTCGTAAGTTGTAGACAGCCGAGACAGGATTACCGCTAGGAAAACGTACACGTCTTGAACTGTTGAGAGTCTTATCAATACAACAGGAATCTGACGACCCACTCTTACTAGAGATAACTTTTTTCGCCGCATTATTTACGCTGTATGTGAATAACCATTTTTTATTTACTTCACTCAGTCGCTTGTTCCCAAGTTTCGCCGGTAACGTGAAACAAGCTGAATTAGTATCTGCTGGTAATTTCTTATGAGAATTTGTAGACGACTGTAATAAATACAACTCAGGTGTATAACTGATCTTAACTGAGAACGTTGGTTCTGGACAGTCGCTTTCATCTGAGGAGCTGGATTTCTCAACAGAGCGAAAGAAGTCGGAGTGACCTTGGGGAATTATTGATCGAATAGTACAATGAAGACCTAAGCCATCTTTTTCAGGAATACTAAGATCATCATCACTACAATAGAGTAAGTCGAACAGCTGACGACCATGAGAAGGACACACCCAATATCGTTTTCTTACACACAGTTTAGTACTGACCAAAGTTATATGATGATGATCAGATTTTATGTGTAAGTGAAGCAGAGAAGTTAAATTTGTTGTTTCACATTCAATTTCTGTCAGACAATTGCGATTTAAATTGAAGCCACGTAATACTGCTTGAATAGCTCGTGTAAGGCTGTGAAATGGTGAAGATGAAGCGAATACTTTGTTGGATCTTGACTTTACACTTTGAGTCGACTGTAAATCCTTGGCTACCAGTTGATGGTACAAACGTCTGAACCAACAATCTTTACACTGAAGTATATTGCACAATATTTGAAGATCACTGGCAGGAAGTAAAGCGTGTGGACCAAAATGAAAAGTTGGTCCGATAGACCAACTTTCTGTCATCTGTGAGCCAAGAAATTAAGAGGATATTAGACTTATTAGACAAAAAGCACTAATCAATACACTGACAGTAATTATTGCAAATGGCTTTTCAAGATAAAAAAAGTGAAATCTGAAACAGCTCTACACAGACACTCACACATATAAGGTGTGAAACAAGTTGACAAAGATTACAGTTCAGGTGTAAACAACAATTGCGTGTGACAACCACCAGCTGGTCATGGCTAACGAGAAGCCTTTAATGAGAACAATACTGATTCGTCTGGAATGGTAGTGAGCTTAAACACACCCAGAAATCATCAGAAGGATGAGTGCTACTGAAGTATTTTTTATATTCATATTTTACGCTGAGACAAACTGTTACTTGAAAAATCCTTTATAAACATTAAATTTTAGATGTTCCAACAGAAGTATATCTACTAATAAGTGTGAATGTTAAGTAGTACATCTGAGGATGGTTTGTGATTTAACTGGTATTCCTCTAGGCCCCACTTTTAACTACATCCGAAATCCACCGATGAAAAACTGATCGCTTACTAGTAAATGACTATACCATACTGCTTATTTCTAAGTTTCCGTAATACATCTATTTTGACAGACGGATAAGAATCCTAACCCTATATCACATGTCAGAATTTCAGCTTGGAGCTCTGGTTGTGAATGCACTTGCATCTTTGTGCAGTTAACAAAGAGCCACATCTATTGTGTAAGGACTGCTTGGCTGCATAAACCTCAGTAGCTGACATAGGATTACAACCACTTAGAACTCGAGTCTAGGCCGATGAGTCGCCGACCCAACTAACTCCAAGAGTTGGTTTGTAAGGATGATTTGTTTTTACGAGATTGACCACGAATTGATATCACTTAGAGAATCACTGAAAACCACCAGGGAGTACTGGACAGCTGTTTCATCTTAGTTTGGGAATCATCAGTACGCATTCACTAGGGTGGCTGAATGGTAAACGAGCTTGCCATATAACCAGGAGGGTAAAGTTAAACTTAAAGCGCCGCCAAATATCAATCAGAAAATGATCTCGAGCGCACCAATCACGTGAAGGAGACATTTTCGTGTATGGAATACATATATTTATGAAAAAACTGCCTAAAATATGTATAGTTACAGAGGATACCATCTTCTCAGTACAATAAAAAATAGCTCTTAGTTTTAGGTTGGAGTATGAAAAGAGTATAAATCCATTGTGGGTAAGATTTATTTTGATAAAGTCTCATTGTTATACAGTAATATTTCCTGAGCAATAAATTGTGTACGGAATGTCATCAGTAAATATTACTGTATAACAGACTGAAACTTTATCAAAATAAATTTTATCCATAAAGGAATTATACCCTATTCTTATATCAACAGAGTAATTTAATTACATTCTATGTATGTAATTATTTAGGCCTTCTAACCCTAAGAAAAAACCCTAATCTTTCCTTAACCTAACCCTAACGTGAAAATATCCCTAGACTAACCCTAACCTAACTCAAACCAACTCTAATGTCGCCCTTATTAGGTTAATCTAACCCTAACTTGTCCTTGGCTAAAAGAGTAACTTAATCTTTCCCAGACCTAAGCTGAAACTTGCCAGATATCCCATTTAATAGCGTGACACATCGACGAACATATTTTATTGATGCTGACATTATTTGCCAGGTTTCTGTAACCTGCTCAATGAGCATTTGAAGGTTATCAATGTGGTTGCACTCCACTGATTTTTACTGGTGCTTAAAGTTTAACTTGGCCACCGAAAGGTCCTGGATTCGAACCTCGGTGGGTGCGTACTGCCGATGATTCCCCAACTAACTCCAGCTGACGCTGGTGATCGAAATCAATTTCCATTCTCTTAACTTTTCAACTCTAGACCAAAATAACACAGAAGTAGGGTGAAAATTAAATCACATCTCAATATCCTTTACTGACTGAGTTATCACATACAAAGTACAGGATAATCAAAATTTATATTTTCTTAGACCCTGATAAATAATTACAGTAACAATTTACTTGAAATGTTTAGTTTTAACTATACAAGAAAATGCCAGTAATCTCTAGTGAGAGAAAATACTTCAGCTAGTATAACAGGCCAACCTCTGGATATAAACGCTTTCAAGAAAAACTCCATAGTTAAGTTCACTTAGCGGTTTACGCAGATATTAGTGCTCACCTTACCACAGCGATATATGTTCACATATAAGAACCAATCGAAATTCCTGGTGAAATTTTTAAACACAGTAATCCTGCAATGAAACTAGGGGCTGTGAACACAGTAGAAAACTTCCAAGGGGAGAGTGATTTTCTGACTAAATGTACATTTATACATACGCCAAACCTATTAAGTTAGACAATGATGTGTGAGGTGAAATTGTAAAGCCTTCTTCTGAGATTAACACAACAACGATCTGCTTAATTAAAACCAAAATCCTGACCTAACAAGTTAATATGAAGGAATACTTAGACAGTTAGCAGTGGTCACAAGATTTACACAGCTTTCACCAACTCCATAAACTTACCAAAAATCTTCGAGCACCCCTTTATATTTAAATATAAATTTTCTCCGTAATTTGATACGATATAGTGGGAAATAACGCATGGGAAGTTCGGAACAAAAAGCATCTGTCAGGTGGAAATTTTATTGAAAATGCCGCTTGTCTGTAATTTCCAAATTTGCCTACACATTTGGTTTCAATGAGCTTCCAAAGAAATAAGCTTGTACTGACATCGAAAGAGGAAAACACAAATAATAATTGTCTCGAGACATGTACAGGTTTCTATAATTCTGAATTAAATGTGATATCGTAACTCATATACTCTCTTACGTATGCTTCTGTATTCAATGTCCAATATCCAATATCGTTTTTACGAGCTTGTATAAACCAGTTTGATTTCTCTGTGCTGGGATTAATTATATGTCGTTAAGACTGTTACTAAAGTGAATGGAGTTGATCCCTTCACCAGTTAGTCCTCCGGTATCGTCATCAAAAGAAAAGAGATTTCGTTATTGAAATCTTCCCTATCAAATTTTAATATGCTCTAGAAGTCTCAAAACATGGGATGTTTAATGTCTCATATCATAGTTTCCTAATATTCTACATGAAAGAGTCCTGCCAAGAGGACCATGTAGAACCGGGTGACGTACAAGCAACTATTCCGTAGGTGACGTAGTATCGTGAATAGTAGCTGTTTCTTAGTAAGAGACTACGAGGTTACTGAATTTGTTGCTAAAACTGACATAACCCATATAACCTTAACTCTACAATCTAAACCTAAAATAAGATTGCATCCGTCCTCACTGGATACCTTAAGGATTTCGTCCTTGTTGACACCTTGATAACTGCTAATATAAGAAGTTTCATATAGACTTAGTGTAGAGAAGTCACTGGTTTTCCCGGGCTAGCTAAACAAAGCCGTTATTTTAGTTTTGGTTGGAAAAAATACCATTTCCCGAATTCTAGGCAGCCAAGTGGTTTAACCGTTTATTGACATGCTTGTTGACGCTTGTGGGAGCGCAACAGTGTCTAGCGGATTCACTCAGATGGCTGTTTTTTGTCTACTGAGAAAATTTATTACTGTATGCCTTCCTTTGTTTCAGAACTTAGCAGTTTGAAATTACCCTCGAAGTGACATCAAATGACCTTGGCGGTCTGTTTGAACATTTTGGGCTACCACATTCCATGTACATTTTGCATCTATTTACTCATATTTTATTGGTGTTTACATATCATTCTAGTCGTATTATTCACTCCGGGATTTTATAAAACGTTTTAAACCCAAAAACTTTCATATTTGCAATAAACCCAAGAAAAAGCACCATGGAGGTTGGCAGCGTACCTTAAAATCTACACCCATACATCACACCACTGTCCCAGTTATCATTAGTACCAACTGCTGGTCCCTGCCTAATAAAATTCTGGATTTTCAGTCCTTGTTGTCGTCCCAAATTTACCACAATACTGGTATTGTCACTCTACAAGAAACCTGGCTCCATGACTCATACGATGACAATATTGTGTCTCTAAACAATTTCAATGTTTTCCGACAAGACCGTGTTTGTTCCAAGAAAAAATGTGGCGGAGGTGTTGCAACTTTTATTCACTCAAAATGGTCCATTTCTAACAAAGTTTGTTTCAAGTTCTCGAATGACTACATTGATTGCATCACTGTGAGATGTCGCCCGAAACACCTGTCAAAATACAAATTCATTTATGTTTCTAATGTTTATGTCTCTCCTGGCTGTACCATATTGGATTTATCTAAGTTCGCTGATGAATTCACCGCTTTTGCTGCAGCTCGTTTCGAGAACTCTTTATCAATAGTAACTGGCGACTTCAACGGAAGCGATTGCTCCTTCCTTATATCACTTGGTCATGACAATATTGTTAACTTTGCCACCCGTCTTGGTAAAACACTGGACCTAGTATTTATCAATGATATTGGTATATATGAAGCTCGCAAACGTGCTCCTTTACTTAATTCTGACCACTGTATCATACGTGTACTGCCTAAAATATATTCCAAATCCCACAAAGGTGTCTTCTCATACCTCTACAGTAAAGTTCAACGGAGATGCTACTCACAAGACAACCTAGACAAGCTCAGATGCATGTTGAAAGACACTAACTGGGACTTATTTACAGAACAAACATTAGATGAAACAATCACAAACACTACCGATTATCTTAAATTCTGTTTCGAAATATGTTGTCTTAAAGAAACATTATTCATTCGATTTGATCGCTTATCTTCACCATATCTCAAAAAGCTACGAAGAGATAAAGAACTGTTGTTCAAAACAAATGATAAGCCTGGTGTAAAAAAGTTAAACATTTTGACAAAAATGAAACGAAAAGACTAAATGTTTTATATAATCAAAGATTTTTGTCATGTAAAACCCCTTCTAATTTGTGGAAACTTTTCGAAGAAATTATTAGCGGTAAGCGATGTATTTCTGTTCCATCTCTTAATGTCGATACTCTTAATAAGTCTTTCATACGCTCTTCTGTTGATACCCTTCCTAATGATACAAATCATATTGACAATAACTTTAGTGGTTTTAATACCCTTGATGTGCTTAAATGTCTCCGGTCTCTTAAGCCTTCTCAAAGCCTTGGTCCTGACGGCATACCTGCCATTGTCCTCAGGAATTGTGCTGATATTTTGTGTTATCCTCTTACTAACATTTTTAATGCTTCTTTTTCCGGTAACGTTCTACCTTTTGCATGGAAAAACATTAAAATTATCCCTATACCAAAACCATCTTCTGGTTCTGATATTAAATTTCGGCCTATTGCAATTACTTCCCCCTTTTTAAAATTAATGGAAAAATTACTTTCACTTCGTCTTGGACCCGCATTGAAACCTTTTAATGATCCTAAACAATTTGCATACAAACATGGTAGAAGTACCTTGGATGCTGCGGTTGTCTTATATCACAATGTTGTCTCTTGTTTAGACAAAGGTGCTAAATATGTTCGTAGTGCTTTCTTAGACTACACATCTGCTTTTGACTCTGTACCTAGGGGCCTTTTGTTAAATAAGCTATTGTTGACACAAACAGGATCCTGGGCTAAGAGTTGGTTGCATTCCTATTTTTCTGATAGAATGCAGTATACTGTATATAACGGCAAATCTTCTTCTACCTCGCTTACAAAATCCGGTGTTCCACAAGGTGCTGTCCTCTCTCCTTTTCTTTTTTCTTTCCTCCTACATGACCTGTGTCAATCACGTCTCATGAACCGTTAATGCCCAGCTCTCGCTACGCTCGGGCCCACGCTGTTCTTCGAAGATTTCGGAAACGCTTAGTTATAACGGACTCAAAAACCAAAACACCGATCTGCCGCTTGATATTTGTTTATTGTTACACCAACATATAAAAGGAATAAGCGAACTAAGGTCTGAAAACAAATATTACAATAATAAATCACAATATTACTTCTGACGATGTTTCACTCTTCTTTCTGAACAGCGACCGATGAGACGATGACTGTCGTATTGATGCCTCCGCGAAAATTGGGGAAGTTGATTTTAAGCAAACAACCAAGAATTGATCGTTCAATCTTCAACTCCATTGACACTCCCCGGCAAAAAAGGGATCCAACCCTTTTTTCCTTCACGACCAATGCACGTTGACTTGGATGCCATTGCGAGAACCTGGGTCACACGGACAGAGCTGAAATGGAAAACAAACAGAAAAGCCAACACACCACAAGCATACCCACACCACAATCTCACACATCAATGACGACCTGCGCCTCCAGACAGAGACCTCCTCTTGACATCTTGCAACACAATCGCCACTTGCTAGAATGACTCTTGCAGAATGCAACGTGACCATAGCAGCACCTCATGATACTCTACGCACATCCTCTTATCTACTCACTACCAATTACCACTGAAATCGCTTGTCACTCATTCTGCCTCAGTTCTAGTAGCGGTGACGTATGCGAGCCTCAGTCGTTTACACTCTTTCTCCCCGGCGTGTCGGACCGCAGCTAACAATTATCTCCGTGTGCATTTCATTCTCAGCAATAGCCTCCCCGGCGTATACGACCCATCTGCTGTCTCTAACATCAATCAATTCATTCACGGATGTAGAAGAGTGGACACAACTTCAGAAGTAATCACGACGAAAATTTTAACAAAATTACGCAATAACAACAAGATACGAAAACAACGAGTAAACACAATGAATCCAAAAACACCAATTGATATGACACACCACACGTATATACAAACAGTACAAACAACCTCGCGATCATGTCTTGGTGGAATTCCTTTGAAGAATTGCAGGACTTACACCAGTACGCCTACAACCCTTCTCAGGTTGACGATTGTAATTTGTGGAATGTCCGGACACAAACAAGATTACCAACAATTACATTAATTGGAACTCACACAATTATTTAACACATTAACATATGTACAATTTCAACACATCAAATGTTGTGGATTCTTTGGCACGCTACCCTTGAAGAACTGTAGGACTTACAGCAGTACGCCTACAACCCTTCTCAGGTTGACGCCCTAGGTTGGAAAATCATCTATTGTTTCATCCTCCGACTCTCTACTCTCAGCACCTTCCAGGAGACACAGTTTTCTGATATCTCGCACCAACATGCCACAACTAGTTCTCACCTCAACCGTCCTCACCAATCCATCACCACTACAGATCAGCCTTACTACCACTCCCAAAGGCCACCTACCTGTGGCACATTTATCTGCTACTAATACTATGTCACCAACCTTTAAGTTTCGGCACAACTTTTTCCACTTGTCCCTGGTCTGCAGTGTTAGAACATACTCCTTTAACCATCTTTTCCAAAATATATCTTTCATGTGCCTGGCTTGTTTCCATCTTTTAATCGTAGGTATTCCTTCCCCGCTTGCGTCCTCTATGCCAGGGTTGCCTCTCAATAACAATAATTTATTTGGGGTTAACACATCAAAATCCTTGACGTCGTCCCTCACAGGTGATAACGGCCGGTCATTTAATATTCGTTCAGCTTCACAAAAAAATGTCTCCAGCGTTTCGTCATTCAAACTCTGGTTTTTAATTATGGAGCTTAAAATACGCTTGATAATTCCTATAAGTCTTTCCCATAGCCCACCTCTATGGCTGGCATGTGGTGGATTGAAGTGCCACTCGATGTTCCTTTTCAGTAACTCTTCCTGAACTCTCGTTTGAGGACCTTCGAAGTATTCTTTAAGCTCGGCGTGACAGCCAACAAAATTAGTCCCTCTGTCGCTGAACATCATCTTCGGTACACCCCGGCGATTTATAAATCTATGTAATGCTAGCACGAATGAATCAG